ACAATTATAACCACTTTTACACCAAAGCTTTGGACTTTATTTGATCAAATGTAAACCCAACATAAAACAACTCATGCGCTTGCAAAGCCTTTGGCAAAGTCATGACCACATATGATCATACTTTGATAAATGGATTCACAAATGAATCAATCTTTAATGCAACCACTTGAGCCATGATTAACCGCAGTCCTTCTTATGGAATCTCTTGAACAACTATCTTGACTCCATCCACAACCATCTTGAATTGGAACAACCTTAATCTCAAACATACCTCACTTAACCCGTGTGCACCCCGGTCTCAATCATGAAACTAAATCTTGCCTGCCCATATTGAGAACATCATTGCACACACAACTTCAAAACGAACCCTTAAATGCACCCCAATTTAAATGTAATTTGACCTTGCAATCTTCTGAGTTTGTTTAGCAAGCCAAGCAACATATTTTTTTGGATTTTGTAATAATGCCAGTGGAAGGACACACAAAAGAAGTATACACTGGCAGGAAAAATTTAGGGTATGACAAATGAAGGATATATACAGGGGTAGGGCAAATTTTAGGGTGCAACAGTTTGGATTTATAACTTGTGATTTCCAGTTTTCAATTTCACCTTATTTAACTTATGCCTCCATTTTAGGCCATTTTTATCACTTTTTGATACAAGTCTTTTCAACATCTCATGACCTCCCTAATAGCCTTAAAACATCATTCTAAGCAAGTTTGATGTTGAAGATTTTTCCATTTGAAGCTTGGAAGTAGGAGATATGGCCTTATGCTTGAAATGACCTATAACCTCCAAATGACCAAAATGCCCTTGACTTGCCAAAGCCATAAGTTGAGTTCTACAAATCCTATCAAGGACTTCTAGTACTATCTAGAAAGCTAAGAAGACGCTCTTCAACATTCATGTTGACCAAGAATCCATAGGAATCATCCTACTAGGGCAAAAGTTGGGTGACTTTCAAGGACCCAGATTCACATACCTCAGATGACCTGTAATTTGTCAAAGTCATAACTTGAGCTCTACAAATCCTATCAAGGACTTTTAGCACTCAAATTAAAGCTAAGAACAAGATATACAACATTCATGTTGTGGGGAAGATGAGATGACAATCACATCTTGAGCTAAACTGCCTTGAAGATAGGGATCAAACTAGGGGATTTTACACTGTCAATCCTTAGAAACCCTAGCTTAAAACTTCTCAAACTCCTCAATCATGATGAGTTGGTCTAGGAATCATCCTTATAGCATCTCAATGCATCACTCCATGATCACATGGCTCTTGGATTAGGTCTCAACCCTCTCCAAATCATCAGTTGACCTAGGGTTGACCCAGTCAAACCCTAATTCCACCACTCATGGTTGAATCTTCTGAATTCTTGTACAATGACCTCTCTAGGCTTCATGATGGCTTTCAAGACATCTCATAAGCTTTCTCAAAGCTTCAAGTCCATCCTCATAGTCTCAGAATCATTTGAGGAGCTCCCACAACTCTCAAGTTATGAGGCACACAACCTTGGTTTCAACCAATCTCTTTGAGGATCTCTTGAGCTCTCTGACAAAGATATCAATCTTTGAACACCTGAATAACCTTCTTGGCTAGCTTCAAAGTCTCATATAACTCTTGATGGATAAATAAATGTTGGTCAAATTTTGGGGTGCAACACAAGTGTGAGATGGAGTTCAAGAAGTAGGTTGATGAAAGGGAAGATGCCTGAGGAACCATGTTACCCTAAATTGGCATTGCATGGTGGCCAACTTTTCTCTTCCATGAATGATTGTATTTCAGTGTTTTGTGGACCTGAATGGGTTTTAACGTCGAGACTTCGACGAAGCGAAGCTATGGTGGGTCAATCTGTGGTTTTTCAATTGGTGGTGATAGGCTTTTTGCACTTCATAGTGAAGAGAATGTTTTTGATATTTGGGAGACTCCAACACCACCAATCCTATGATTTAATTGTGTTTTTTTTCTTAGTTTAAGGTTAATTTTTTCCTTAGTTTTTTCATAACCAGATTGCTTCTGCAATTTTATTTTTATAGATAATGTTGAATCTAAAACATTGTATGTATATATACACAACAGAGGATATTATAAATGTGGATTGCTTATTTTTCTATACTCTAGTGAATCAAATTTCATACATCACTTTATGGTATTCTCATAAAAAATTTATATGAGAATAAGTGAAGTCGGACCTAGTTAAGCATAATCAAGCATTACTTTCTTCAAAAACTTAATTGAACCAGATTCCTCAGGGGCAACTTCATCAAAGGAAACATAATTTTGCTCCTTATCGTACACATAATTTTGCTCCTTATCGTACACATGGTCTAGAACACCATACATCACTTAATATCTCTGCGAAATGGGGCCAATGTGGATTTGCGGTCTTTGAATTTTTGCCCAGGCTTTAGAATTTTTCTGGCTCCGCCATTATATATATATATATATATATATATATATATATATATATATATATATATATATATATATATATATATATATATATATATATATATATATATATATATATATATATATATATATATATATATATATATATATATATATATATATATATATATATATATATATATATATATATATATATATATATATATATATATATATATATATATATATATATATATATATATATATATATATATATATATATATATATGAGAGAAATTATAAAATTCTCTTTAATTTTAGCTGAAAAAGTTACTAAGATATATATATATATATATATATATATATATATATATATATATATATATATATATATATATATATATATATATATATATATATATATATATATATATATATATATATATATATATATATATATATATATATATATATATATATATATATATATATATATATATATATATATATATATATATATATATATATATATATATATATATATATATATATATATATATATATATATATAAAAGTTGTTAAATCACTTAGTAATTTATGCCGCTAAAATTAAAGAGATTTTTGTAATCTCTCTCATTTATTATTATTTATTTATTTTATAATAAACATTTGTAATTTGACAAAAATATCTTGCCAAAAATTTATAATAAAAATCTATAAATCATAATAATCTTGTATATAAAATTTAAGTTGTTAAATCTTTCAATAAATATTTAGCACAAAATTAAGATTATTTATGAAATTGTATATTTTTATTTTATTTTATTAATTATTTAGTAGATTTTTCCCCACTAAATTTTAATTTTCTTCCACTAATTTTTATATTTATTTAACTTCCATATTCAACTAATTAAATAAAAATTAATTAATAATATATTTCAACAAATATTAGAATGCAATGGAAGTAGTACAAAGAATTAGCACATATATTTTGAATTTTGAATTTGACGTTGTTGGTTCGAACCTTATGAGATGCTGAGCTTATAGTAAGCTTTTCAATTTTTAATATTTTATTAGATTTATTATCAAATTTTTATTATGAAATATAATTTATTATTTTATCTTTCAATTTTTAATTTTTTTAATGATTTTATTTCAAACTTTTATTAAGAACTATAATATATTATTTATGTGAAATTGTTTTTATTTATAGAAAAATATATTATTAAATTTTATTTTAAAATAATATATTAAAAATTTAACAATTTTAATATTATTTTTAATTATGTAATTATATTAAATGGCAATAAATTAGTTAGTTAAATTACTAGATTTAAAATATTTTTGAACAATCTAGTTTGAATTAGTCTAGCATAACTTTATTATTTATAAATTTTTTTAATTAGTTCAACTTATTTTGATATGCTATATCAATTTTAATATATTAATGAGGTTATTAAATGTATTATGGTCTCGTAATTTTAAAGATATTTTTAAAATACAATTGTTTGATTGTTTATATTTTTCTATTGACATATAGTTACAATTAATTCATTGATGGCGAGATTTAACAAAAACGGGTTGGGAGTTTTTCTCATATTTTCCAATTTTAATTTTTTGTTGTTCATTAATTTAAACACTTGATTATTAACATTTTCAATGAACTAATTTTCTTTATTAATTTAAACACTTGATTATTAGCATTTTCAATGAACTATTTTTCTTTATTAATTTAAACACTTGATTATTAGCATTTTCAATGAACTATTTTTCTTTACTAATTGATGTTAATTTCTCTTATAACAAATGAACTTTACGTAAATAAAATATAAAAAATTAAATACGAATAAATCTTACTATTATAAGCAAACTCTCACGTGAATTTACTTACCCATAGCAAAAAATACGAGTGAATAGAGTTTCTCACTGGTATAAGCAAACCCTAAACTACTGATAATTCTTAAAGTCTTTAGCCACCACTATCAACCTAGAAATGTTATCCATTTGTACTTTTTAACAAATATATTATTTTTTATCTATTATATATTATAAATATTTCAAACAAATATTTAAAGGAAAATTGTCTATCTTATTTTTTAAATAATTTTTAATAAAAAATAATTATTATCTCCTATTAACTTTTTAGATTTGTATTTTTTTTTCTTTTTAAAATCAAAATTATGTTAATTTTATTTATTTATATTTATTTCACGTCACTAACTTCTAAGAATTGACATGTTGAAAAAGCGGACATAACATAAACTCTAAACGAGTCCTCAGCGGACATAATATAAACACCTATATATTAAACATAATTCTCACCGGAGAAACCAAAACGCTTCCCGTGTTAGCCACTCCACTGCCCACGATCATCAACGGCACAAAAGAATTCTGCTCATTTTCTTTCCATCTTTTCTTAATCCATTCCTACCGCATTCCATATAGTACAATTTCTTTTTATCAAATTTCCATCTAAACTGAAATCAAAACCTAAACCCACTCCCATTCTTAATTAAAACCCGCCTCTCTTACCTCACATCAGCATATAACCTAAAATTCTGTCTCCTCTTTTGTTGTTTGTTCGGTTTTGCGATTCTCAAACATCATGGCTGAGAAACAGGTCATTGTCGTAGTCGAAAGTACAGCCGCTATGGGTCCTTACTGGGACACCCTTCAAATGGATTATCTAGATAAAATTGTCAGGTTCAATTTTTCTCTTTTTACTTTACTTTCTATGCATCCATATTAATATCCTATTTTATTTCATTCAATCAAAATTAGGGTTTTCTTTTTAGTTTTTCTGGTAATTCATGTCTTTGATTTTGGTGCTGTGCTCAAATTGTCTTGATTGTTATTGACTAAAAAGTGAAATTGGAATCCTGTTCATGGAGAATGAAGGTTGATTCTGTTTATGAAACATAAACTATGTTGTAAACTCAATTGTGTTATATGCCGTCCCAAAGTTTGTTGTATTTTGTGATTTTATGAATCCATATCTATTTTTACGAATTCATATATATTTTACCGATCCAATGCTTCTTACATTAAAACACATGCCAACATTTTGGTTCAAAGCCTTTTATCTTAATCAGAAAAACTAAAAAACTTTTATGGATGGAAATGCAAAAGTTACCTCCGGAATGAAAGTGACTTTCTGAAAATCAAAAGTAAACACTTTGTTGGATTTGAGAACCAGTGATTGGGATTCAACATAAGTCTTAGCTATAAATAAAATAGTCTTTTGCTTACAAGATTTAGACCTTGACACTTAATAAAAGCCATGCATAACTATGCTTAAATGTTGGACAGTTCCATTTATATATATGCATGCAAATTTTAGTTATTCCGTCTTATCGTCTTGATCATATTATCCACATGTTTTAACCTATTGTGGTATTCTTACAGGAGCATTAGTGGGACTGAGTCAACTGGGCAGGTATACATTTTCTATGGTGAAAATTTTTGTCTTTGAAAAAAATGAAAGAAAATATTAGCATCTATCACTTGAACACTTTTGATATGGCTTATATCATATTTAGTGAATATATGTAGGTATTTTCATTGGCTTTGGATAAAAATGTTCTCTTTCTCAATGGCTTAGGCATCTCAAATAGCTTGCTTTTAGCCCAAAATGTTTCTTAAGGAATGCTATTATATATCATTCCCCCAAAACTCCCATTCTCAATATATTTTATTGCTAGTGTTTTTAATGCAAGAATTCCATAAAATCACTAACCATAAATATCACTAGTAAACATCATGTTTTTTTTGTCTAAATTGCCTAGGTTTTATAACCTATATTTAGGCGATATCTCTAGCAATTGTGGGACTTGGTTTTTTTTCCAATACCATCATCTGTCTCTCAGATGTTTTTTGTTTTTTTTGGTCACTGTCCATTAGGGAATCAAATTGATGTTGTGGAAGAATATTCCAGCATGTCTTTCTTGTATGGGTGTTTTTGGCTTCATTGGAGCAACTGAAGCTCTACCAATGATAAAAAAATCTGATATTTTGATATTAATTATTACTAATTAGTTAGAATTGGAAAAACTGAGAGATTCATGAAAACTGTTGTTGTGTAATTTAATAGTATGTTGAAGATTTACAAAAGTGTCTATATATATATATATATATATATATATATATATATATATATATATATATATATATATATATATATATATAGAAGAAGGTTTTCTAATTACTGACAAACACAGTCTAACTGAAAAGGACAACTAGCATGTATCTCTCATAACTAACTAGAGATCCTAATCATATGCTCTGAACAATGTGCACAATGCAATAATACATTGTACTTTATCAATTATGGACGATATTGGGAAAACTTAAGTCCTAAATTGACTAGAGATTTGGTGTAAAAATAGTTTATATTGAATAGCCATTCCTCATCTTATAAGTCAGTTTTATGAGATTAAGTTAGACCCACATTATTAGAATCTATCCAAGATTCATCGGGTTGTCCACTATATGTTATCCACACACCAAGTCCATAGTGTTGGGTGTGAGTCATTTGGAAAAATCCAAATCCCACATTGACTAGAGACCTATAAAGAGTTTATCAGTAATTAATATTTATCAATGTAGAACCACATTTGTGGAGTTCGGTACCTAAAAATCTAAGACAAAAAAGATAAGTTGTTTCGGTAACTCATTAGTTAGAAAGGTCAGACGTGTATTTGTTCAAATCATACTAGTAAAATGTGTTAATCTCTCTGTCTTGTGATTTATCTATTGATTTTATCATTTTATCTTTCTTTTGCAGAAGCCTTCTGTTTCCAATGTTGAGTTTGCCCTAGTCACCTATAATACTCATGGGTGTTATTCTGGTACAATTTTATTAATTTTTTTATTTTCTACTCTGTGAGTCATTGCTTTGCTAAAGCTGTTAATGTCACAATTTTTGCATAGCCTTAGAATTAACTTTTTGCAGCTATCTATGCTAGTTGATTTATTTTTAATTTATACCAGTTCACATATTTAAATATATCGTTACTGTTAAGAAATGTGGTCGGGCCTAACTCAACCCTACAAAACCGGTTGGTAGAGTGAGGATTACCCCCACTTATAAACACATGTTCATGCCAATATATTGTCCGATGTGGGACTCTTAACAGTTACATATCAATAAAGAAAGAAAAAGGACTAAACTTATTTGTACCGATAAAATTTCCATAGTTTGATCACACGTGTGAGTATGAGATATTAAACAATAAAACAGAGAAGGTTTTACTATCGAAAACACAGTCTCTAGGATTTTAGGATGCTCGAATTCTTTCTATCTTCTTTTACAATAGCAAGTGGGTGTTTGAGTGTGGGAAGTTACACTATAGTGATTTCACTTTCCGTAGCATAATCTCTTGGTTCTTGAAATTTGCCCAACTCCTTTTACAATGGACAAATCTATTTTTACTTAACTTAGCATCATTGGACGCAGGTATCCTTGTGCAACGCACTGGTTGGACAAGAGACCCCGATGTTTTCTTACAGTGGCTATCATCTATACCCTTTTCTGGTGGTGGTTTTAATGATGCAGCAATTGCTGAAGGGCTTGCTGAAGCTCTGATGGTATACCCTGTTTCCTGTTTATTCTTTCAACTTTTAAACGATATATGTTGATCCTGGTTCCTTCATAATGTTTCCTTTTAATCGTCTATTATCTCATCTCTAATGGTCGTGCACATGCATATATTGTGTGTTTTATGATGTCTTGGTTTTATTTATTTTAATCAAAATGTTCTCATGTAAAAAATGAAATGCTGGTTTACATATGAAATTTAAGATGATTTATAGGTTACTCTAATGGTTGTGGGATGCAGAATATTTCCTAAATTTTATTTAGGTGCAAAGTTTTTTTGTCTTGCTGAGTTGTCGAAGTTTTAATTGTGGTTGCGTGTATTTGAGCTAAATTATGCATCATAACTGAGTTTACGGTTATAGTTTTGGAGCTACGTTGGTTCATAATGGCTCAATTTAATATGATTTGAGCTTACAATCTGAGTTGAAATGTTCACAAATTTTATTTTGGTCGTCGTGTGAAATTTATTTACATATGACTATTATGTTACAAATTGTGGTTATTAAAAATATAAAAAAATTGTCCATGTAAATGTGGTGAAAAAGCGTCCTTGTAATCCTAGCCAAAGATTTGTTTGTAATCTTTAAAGCCCAATTTGAATAGTTGTTGAAATTATGGGTTTTAGATAAAACTAGAAAAAGAATAAAAAAAATATTATTATGCTGATATAACATTGATCATGATTTGATTCTTGGTGCAAAAGACTACACTCTCCGTTCCCTATTATAATAAGACCCCTTTGTTCCCTATTATCGTACATCTCTATGTGGCTGCAATTGTTCTCTGTGTTGGAGCGTTTTAAAATTGTGGAGAAGGCGGCGCTTTTGACGCACAGAGAAGTGTTGGTTACTAAGTAGGGGTGAGAATAGGCTAGACATACTAACTGGGGCCTACGGTCTAGTCTACACAGGTCCATGGCCTAGGTTAGGCCAATTTTTTTTTTAAAATAGAAAAGGCGTAGGGTTTTTTATAGGCCTATTTAGTTAAAATGGGTAAGCCACATGTCCTAAAAAAGGCCTTTTAATTTTTAAGTCTATCAAATCGGACTATTTAAATAAATATGAATAATTTCATTATTATTATTATTATTATTATTATTATTATTATTATTATTATTATTATTATTATTATTATTATTATGACACATAACTTCGTCATAAGTTGTTTTATAAGTTCTCTCAAACACAATGTCTCACAAAACTTAGGCTACTACGTAAGCTCAAGTAATTTAATGCAAACAAATTTTTAGTCTCATTGGTCTTTTAGCTTGCTAGTCTATTTAAACATTAGTTGAATTGCTTATTTACATATGTTTAAATGAAATAGACCTTTAAGTAGGCTAACATGCCAACCATGCATTCAAAAAAGGCAGATTTAGGTCTGAAATTAATCCTATGATAGGCTATAGACTAGACTTAAGCTTAGCTTGGATATATATATATATATATATATATATATATATATATATATATATATATATATATATATATATATATATATATATATATATATATATATATATATATATATATATATATCTTGGGCTGTAAGATGAATTTTAATGCTCAAACTCAATGCTGAAATGGTTAGATGTTCCCTCAAAGTGGAGACTCAAATCAGCAGAATGTGGATATGCACATGCACTGTATCCTTGTGGCAGCCAGTAATCCTTACCCGTTGCAGACACCAGTATATGTTCCGCAACTGCAGAGTGTAGAGCAGAGTGAATCTATTGACTCAGACCCAGGGAACCAGCTATATGATGCTGAAGCTGTTGCTAAAGCGTTTCCGCAGGTACTTTGTTTTATTTATTTTATTTGTTTGGCACTCTATCTCCTCTATGCTGTAAGATATCTATTCACACTTTATTAATGGAATGTGATACTCTGTATACAGTTTGCTATTTCTCTATCAATCATCTGCCCAAAACAACTTCCCAAAGTTAAAGCCATTTACAATGCGGTAAGGATGACTTATCACTCTTGTCCCAAAATTATAATATGTATTTATTTGTTTATGTTGAAAGATATTGGTAAACTGGGTTTCTGGTACTAAACATGAGAATGGTACACTCCTAAGCTCGCATTTGCTGGAATAGTTTTGTATTTTTTGAAACATAGACACTAATTTTTCAAGATCACCGAAAATATTCTAATATTTTAAAAGATGTACTAAAAATATTGTAAGTTATTTAATGACTATTATTAAAAAAAGTAACTTTTTTCCTGCTATTGAATAATTTTGTTATATTGATAACATCCTTTTGACACTGTAGGGAAAGCGAAATAATAGAGCTGCTGATCCACCAGTTGATGCCAAAATGACTCATTTCCTTGTTTTAATATCAGAAGGTTTCAGGGAAGCCCGTGGTGCCTTGAGTCGATCTGGAGCGAACTTGCCTTCAAATCAAAGTCCTGTAAAAGTAGATTCTTCATCTACAATACCAGTTACAGGGGCACCCCCAACTACATTACCATCAGGTTGTTTATGCATGCAGTATATGCGTCCCTTATTTGAGACCAATATTAAGTAGTGGGCATGTACATAAAAAAAAACAAGTTTGCATGCTTTATTTATATTTCTAGTGTTTTTCCTTTTGCATAATTTTGAACACCAACTCCATAGGACTTTTATCTGGAAATTTGTTCAGAAGATTTATTCTTGAGGTGTAAGGATAAATATTTATTTGATTATGTTTATGGTTTTGCTACCAATGAATCCTAGAAGGATGGAGCGAGAAATTGAGGATATTAGCTGTGACAGAAATAATTGATCGTAGAAGGACCGACCTTTTCTCTTATTCCTATCAAGAAGACTAAGTCAGAGCAAACTCGTGTTTAGAGAAAGTTAGTTGGGTAGGGTCACTCTAAGAACCAGAAACCCCGGGTCAGGGAGAGATTCTCCACATGAATGACCTGTCAGGTTATAACTTAGATTGGTGAATTCCCACCGACACCTATCTTACATGCAACAAGCAATAGCTTTTATTACACAGTTCGAAAGCTTAAGCCTTCCTACATATGCAGGCTCACCTTGAACCTGTTGAAAAGTGCTTGGGAGAGTACTGTCAGATTTATTGGAAAAATTCTAAGTCTCACATTGGGTAGAGATAGAGGCTTGAAAGAGTTTATATAGAGTGATACTCCTCACTTTACAAGTTGGTTTTGTAAGTTTGAGTTAGGTCAAACTCTAATATGATATCAATGCCTATCAATCGAACCATGAGCCTCCCACTGTTTATATTCATGCACCAAACTCAAAAGAGTGTTGAGCGTGAGGGGGATGTATTGGAAAAATCTTAAGTCCCATATTAGTTAGAGATAGAGTCTTTAAAGAGTTTATAAAGAGTGACAACCCTCACCTTACAAGCCGGTTTTGTAAGGATGAGTTATGCCAAACTCTAATACAAAGGGGTGTTTTTATTGGTGAGAGTATCATTTACTTTCTTCCTGTTGCAAGGAAATTCATCCCCATCCATTGTAAATTACTTTACTGTTTTATTCATCTATTACAGGGGATTCGTCCTGAGTTTTTCAATCATTCTATCTCTATTAGTTTCAGTTTATCAGTGTTTGTTTCTGTTAAGAAATGTGGTTGGGCCTAACTCAACCCTACAAAACCGGTTGGTAGAGTGAGGATTACCCCCATGTTCATGTCATATATTGTCCGATTTGGGACTCTTAACACACCCCCTCACGTTCAGGACTGGATAACTGAAGCATGGAAATAAATGGTGGGTGGCCCGATAGCGGAAACCATAGAAGGTGGCCCACCGGATCTTAAACCAGGCTCTGATACCATGTTAAGAAATGTGGTTGGGCCTAACTCAACCCTACAAAACCGGTTGGTAGAGTGAGGATTACCCCCACTTATAAACACATGTTCATGTCATATATTGTCCGATGTGGGACTCTTAACAGTTCCTATTAAACTACCGCTGTACGGAGATCTGAAGAAACAGCAAACTAACAAAAAAAATACAACACCTGAATTAGAACAGTTAAACTATACTCTAATAAAAAGGGAGAAATATGTAGGCTGGTCTTACTTTGTTGAAAATTTATATACTTTATGGATTTCCCCTATTTTTGTATTTCTATCATGTTAAATATACGCTGTGGCAGTCAATTTTGTAAAAACAATGATCTTGATTGAAAGCTTTCTTACATTGTTATACTTTTTAAAGGGAAAAAAAATAAAAATAGCACTCATTCTTTTGTCATTATGGATATCACTGTATTCTGTATTTAGCTGTAAAGGTTAGTAAGAAAATTTATGGACAGGTAGTTGCTTTAAAGCTCTAGTTTGTCATGGTTGGTTTGTCAGCAGTTTATCGTCGTGGCTTATTTATTATTCTTTTGACATCGTGGTTTAAAAGGTGTTTTAGTTTAACAAGTTTTCTGTGACTTTTTAGTGAATGGATCTATCACAAACCGACAACCAATACCTGCTGGGACTGTAACTCCTGCTACTGTTAAAGTGGTAAACTTACATCTAGATAAAATATTTAACTTTTATCTAAACTAACCACTTTAATTCTGTGATTATAATTCGTTTTATTTAAATGATCCTGAATTTATATGATAATTCTTCAGGAACCAGTTCCCGTAACTTCCATGGTAACTGGGCCAGCTTTTCATCACAATTCGTCAGTTGCACGTCCTACTAGTACCGGTCAAGGAGTTCCAAGCTTGCAGACATCTTCTCCGTCTTCTGTTTCTCAAGACATTGTGACAAGTAATGAAAATGCACAGGATACAAAGCCAATAGTGTCAATGTTGCAGCCACGTCCTGTGAATCAAGCTCAAGCAAATGTGAACATTTTGAATAATCTCTCTCAAGCACGACAGGTAATGAATTCTGCTGCTTTAAGTGGCGGAACTTCTATGGGACTTCCATCAATGGGTCAGACTCCTGTTGCCATTCACATGTCAAACATGATATCCAGTGGGACGACATCTTCTGGACCTGCAGGTCAAAATGTATTTTCATCTGGACCGCCAGTAATAACTAGTTCTGGATCTCTTACTGCTTCTGCACAGGTTGGACAAAACTCAGGTCTTGCTTCATTACCATCAGGCACTTCTAATTTGTCTTCAAGTCCAAACAATGGGATTTCACAACCATCAACTAATCTTCAAGGAGCGGTTAGTATGGGACAACAGGTTCCCGGTATGAACCCAGGAAACCTTTCAGGGGCCCAAATGGCGCAAGGCGGAGTTAATATGAGCCAAAATGTAATGAATGGCCTCGGTCAATCAGGTGTCTCTTCTGGAGCTGGCGCAATGATCCCTACTCCAGGAATGACTCAACAAGTACAATCAGGCATGCAGCCGCTTGCAAATAATGCAGCTACTGCTAATATGCCTTTGTCACAACAGACAGCTTCTGCACAATCCAAATATATAAGGGTCTGGGAGGTATGTCCACTTCCTTCATTCTTTATGCCATGTATATCTAGACCTTATATATATATATATATATATATATATATATATATATATATATATATATATATATATATATATATATATATATATATATATATATATGTGTGTGTGTGTGTGTGTGTGTGTGTGTGTGTGTATAGACACACACACACACACACACACACACACACACACACACATATATATATATATATATATATATATATATATATATATATATACATATATATATATATATATTGACACATTTCTTAGTGCATTATCCATTATTCAATTTCAAACGATCATAACTTCGTTGATTTGTTTGCTATGTCATTTTGCATCATGGAGAAGCGCTTGATCATTGTTTGCAGAAGCGTTTCCCATACAAATTGACTATGAGCCTCATTATTTGTTTTTGAATGTGAAACTGTTTTAGATGCAATGTTGTGATACTATGTTAAGAGTGAATGGCTTAGGAAAGATAATTAGTTGACTACTGATCACATTTGCTTTAAATGTGCCTTAGTATGTATTTGAAAAATATCTCTTAAGTACTAAAGCCCTTAGCTTAGAGTGCACTAGAAGTAATTCCTATTTTGTTTCTTCTTTGCATTCTCTTGGTACATTGTACATTATAACTTAGAGGTGTTCATATATCTCATTGAAATGTTCTTTCAAAATCATAAAATCCTGTAAAGAAATAATCATTTGTTTTGTCAAAGAATGAACCTGTGGTGCTAGAGTGGTGGCAGTTTATGGGATTTATTAGCATGCTTGTAAGTCAGATCTATTGTTCAATAATTGAAATTCATGCAGGGAAGCTTATCTGGACAAAGGCAAGGACAGCCAGTATTTATCACCAAACTCGAAGTAAGTTCCCAACTGCGAGATAAAATTTATATATTTTTTTACTTGTTTTAATCTACTTCAGTTATGCCTTTTCATTTTTCAAGCCTACTATCTTTTCCCTGAATAGTTATTTGACGTGTATTCCTGTTGCATCCATTTCTCTGTGGCAGGGTTACAGGAGTTCTTCTGCCTCTGAGACGTAAGTTTCAGAAGTTGTATTATCTTTTCTCAAAAGACTAGATTATATTATAGTTGAAGTTTATAATACTATTGCCGCTAAGTTATTATTAATAATATTTGGTATTGCGATTTTGGTTTTTCAACTTTAGAGTCAGAATATTTGCTGTGATATTTTTATAGATTAGTATTTTCTTAACATGGTTTGCTCAGGAAAATTTTCTTAGTTCCGTTTAACTTTGATTAATAATTAATTTATGCTAAGATATTTTTATATATAAATAAAAAAATTATAAGGGGGATTACAACAGAGGACAAGTTATCTTCTAAAAGAAACCACAATGAAGAAATTAAACTTCAAACCCCCATATGAACTGAACAAGCAATCTCAGAAATTTATTACTGACGATAAATATGAATAAACTTAAGCTTCACATAGTAATTTCCCATTATGCAAAACCGATTAGTTTTAAGAGATTCTATGTTTAGTGCAACCTAGTTTTGTTTGTACAAAATAAAACCTGTTGTTTTATCAAGAGAAAAATATTAAACAATTAAAATCTGCAATAAAGATTAGTAAAAAATTTCAGTTTATAATTTGCATTTTAAACTAACTTGCTTTAGAACAAAAGAAAATTTCGCTCTTAATTGAAGCATCACTTCCTCCAATTTCATTGTAATGACGGAGTCTAAATGTTTTTTTTTTTTCCTTCTGATTTTGACTTTCTAATCTGATCCAATCAGATTATCAGACATTTTATATCCTCTTCTTAATTCCTTTGATTTACTAACATATGTGATACTACTTCTATTGACCTCAGACTTGCAGCAAACTGGCCTCCTGTAATGCAAATAGTTCGGCTTATCTCTCAGGATCACATGAATAACAAGTATGTCCTTATTTTAATTTGTATTCTTTTAACATATATTGGTGACCTTTGTTCTGTAGCTGTGCTAATTTTATATGCTGTGACTAGGCAATATGTTGGAAAGGCAGATTTCCTAGTTTTTCGTGCAATGAACCCTCATGGATTTCTGGGTCAGCTCCAAGATAAGAAGCTGGTAAGTCATGTGTGAGCTTCTAATTTTTTTTCCTTCTTTTCAGTTAAGCCTGTGTTTTATTGTTAGTTTTTTTTCCTTCTTTTCAGTTAAGCCTGTGTTTTATTGTTAGTTTTTTTTTCCCTAGTTAACTTAAGAATGTCAATCATGGTAGTTAAAATCCCGATTTGAATCGTAAAATCCCAGGATTTACTACTATGCTTGCCCTCAGCAGTTAAGAATATACGCACAATACTATTTTGGTGGAATCTCCCTTGTTAGTTGTTGAATCGTATAATCCACGATGTTTGGAATGTTTCTGTGCTTATGAATGACTACAATTTTATAGAAGTATTTGATGTGTGATTTAAGGTTTTCTTTTTCTTACGATTACTAATGCTATTTTATATGCATAGTCTTAGAATTCCACGAATCGCGATTTTCACCCAGTTTCCTGATTTCGCATGAAATCTTGATTTTAACTCTTGATCTCAATGTTTTTTTGAATTCTTCCTTGATATAATGAAATTTAGGTTCGGTACTATGAGCATCTCACCGCAATAACTTAATTCCAGTTGATTCTGAATTAATAATGAATCTCCATGACTGATAAAATATGAATTTCATGATAACTCTACAGTCGAGTAACTTGCTTTGGCGACAGTCGGCTGTGTTATGTCAGTGGACTATTGATTTTATTATTGTGTTCTCTTTAATATATTATTTAATTTCAGTGTGCAGTTATTCAATTGCCATCACAGACTTTGCTACTATCAGTTTCTGACAAAGCCTGCCGGTTGATTGGGATGCTTTTTCCTGGGGTAACATATACGATTTTTAATGTCTAGTTAAAATCTGTGATGGATTACACCTTACTTGAAACCTTGATTGCAAGCAGGATATGGTTGTATTTAAGCCACAATTATCCGGTCAGCAGCAGCAACAAATGCAACAGCAACAAATGCAACAACAACAACACCAGCAGATGCAATCGCAACAGCAGCATCTTCCACAAATGCAGCAGCAGCAGCTTCCTCATATGCAGCAGCAGTTACAACAACAGCAACAGCAACTTCCACAGCTGCAACAACAGCAGCAGCAGCAGCTTTCCCAGCATCAACAGCAGCAACTCCCTCAACTTCAACAACAACAGCTTTCACAACTGCAGCAGCAGCAACAACAGCTTCCGCAATTACAGCAACTGCAGCATCAACAACTTCCTCAGCAGCAGCAACAGATGGTTGGGAATGGAATGGGTCAAACTTATGTTCAAGGTCCCGGACGCACACAAATGGTTTCTCAGGGACAAGTTTCATCACAAGGAGCTACAAACATTGGTGGAGGGAATTTCATGAGTTAGCTCATTTTCTGATACCGTTTGCCCAAGACCGACACAACTCAAGTCATGTTTTGGGGATTCTATTTGTTTTATTAAACTTATATTCCTAGGTACTAGCATACTATTGAAAGTACGTAGCTCATAATTTATGGGAGACAGTGATAGGGGTATATGGTCGTTCCATTTCATTAGTCATTGACACTAAAAACTGATAGGTTGTATATATTGAGAGTATACTACAAAGTCATTGGTTTATGATCGATAGAGTTTAGTTGCACAATCCATATCACAGTTTTTATGACATTAGAAGATGAAATGTGTGTTTGTATTGTCTAATGGACACCATAAAACTCAAAACAAAGAGGCCATGATATTGATTATCAAGAATGAAAGGCTAATGCTATGGTAGACTCCTTAATTCGAAGGGCTGCTCGAGATTGCTTGCTAACCGGTTTAATCTACATAGAATTGCTAACCGGTTTAATCTACATAGAATTGCAGGGTGTAGTTCACTCAGCATCGTGTGCCATAGTAGTGACCTATGAAGCACATACACGCTGAATACAGTTTTGACACGGCACCACCGATATTAATTTTAAAAAATAAATAAATTAAACATAATTATAGGTGTCGGTGCATATACAAACACTGACATGTCTATTTTTAGAGACAATGTAAGCAGTCACCTTAAAATTGTATAACATACTTTGTTTGACCGTAAACCGTCCATTAAATCTAGATTGTTTTAAACATCAAATGCAATATGTCTCATTTGGAAATGAGACATGCTTGGTTGACACCCGGTACATATACAAACACTGACATGCCTATTTTTAGAGGCAATGCAAGCACTCACCTTAAGATTGTAACATACTTTGTTTGACCGTAAACCGTCCATTAAATCTGGATTGTTTTAAACATCAAATGCAGTATGTCTCATTTGGAAATGAGACATGCTTGGTTGACACCCGATTTTTACACGCCGTATGTATGTAATTGATCTTGTATGTAATTGATCTAGTGTTTCATGGATTTCAAAGTGAGACATAATTATTAAAAAAATGAATAGTATGTATTCATAGTATAAATATGATTCATATGTAAGTATAAAATAGGGTGTCTTAGATCTTTTGCATAATTTAAATATTTAAAATTACTACCTAACTCTAAAGAAAGGCGAGAGACAACCATTGATATAGGCTCATTGATTTATAATATAGCTTTAAAATCCACGAAAATTTATAATTTAGAGTATCAAAAAATTCTTTCCTCAATAAGTATGAAGTATGATAATTAACTTATAACAAAAAGTCACAAGATCTAGAAAATAAAAATAATTTAGAGTATCAAAAAATTCTTTCCTCAATAAGTATGAAATATGACAATTAACTTATAACAAAAAGTCACAAGTTCTAGGAAATAAAAGATGCGTGGATATATGATTTGGAATGATCAGAATGAATCGTCGTGACCTTTAATGTAGGACAACAACAGTGGTTGTAGGAGAGGAGGGGGGGGGGGGTACCTGCAAGGAACTCCGATGCTAAAGTAAGTAACAATGAGAGAAAGCAAGTACAAAGTGTTCAGGTTTGTGTTAGAATGAATTGGATACCTGGCCCTCTCAAGTGAGAGGGTATTTATAAGAATCCCTCAGCGCGGGGCCAAGATCTCCAATGTAGTCGAAATATCTGGTCGATTAATGAAGGACTGCCAGTTGGAAGAGCGCGTGATCTTCGACCTGGTCCAACTGTCCCCATGAACTCTATAGGAGGATCTTCGATCAATGGAGGACTGACAGTTGGTCGTGTAAACTGTCAAGCGCGTGAGGAGGATGTTTCCAACGACTATATTCTCCCCAACGGATATATTGTGCCCAACGACATATTGTGTCCAACAGTTAGATTATGCTAATCTCCTTGTTGGGCCTTGTCTAGCGCTGGATTGGATTGGGCCCTGCCCAATTGTGGGTCATGTGCCAGTCCAGTCCAGAACAGGAGCCCTCCAAGTCGTAGCTCTGAGGTGAGGAGTAATGACTTGAGTTAGCCTTGTTGGTCGACCAATGGGCAGGAAGTGCGTCGCAGGGAGGTTTTTTGAGGTCATTATTGTTCGAAGGAAAATCTTCGGGGATGTGCCTTTCAATTGTCTATGGTTAGTGTGGTCGACTGTTGGCTGTTCATGGTCCCAAGGGTTCCTTGGGGTGCGAGGGTGCGCTCGCGGAAGGGACGTTTTACGTCGATTAACCTTGCGCTTAAGGTAAAGAAATTTCTCATCAATGAGGTTTGTGCTCGAATGATATCCTATGCGCCCTGTCGAGGAGGACGTGCCCGTAGAGAGCTAGAGGGAGCTTGCCTTGGGAAATGCAAGGTTTCAGCCTTGAGGATGTCAAACGAAAGATTCCCCTCTGACACGTGTGACGGCGTAATCAATTTTTGTTAAGGGCCTAGGGAATTTGGGCTATATAGGCAATGACGATTGCCCTTTGCGCTTCCCGGAGCGAGCAAGCGGCTACAAAAGGAGAGCAAGAGGATTCATTTTTACACTTCACGCAAATTTCTCTTCCTCCACATCCTTTGCTCTGCAACTCGTGCTCTTCATCAAAGTTCTCATAGCTGCCGTCCATCTTCATCTTTAACCTTCAGATCCACGTAAGTCTTCATCTTCAACCTTTGAATGCTTGTTAGATTTTCAGGATTTTCTAGAATTTGGATGAATTTAACATGAATGTTCCAATGATGTATGAGTTTTCCGATTGAAGTTCATGTGTTCTTCGGTGAACACATGAATTTTTGGAAAATTTACGAAGATCCCGAAGAACATATGAATATGATGATGAATGTTAGGAATTAGCGTAGGAGAAGTCCATGAATCTTCCTAGGTTTTTGTTAGGACTATGTCATACCCTAAATTTGTCCTACCCATTTTCAATTTTTTTTTGTATTTTTCAATTTTATTTTGATTTTGCATTGCCCGATTAATTTCTTGTTATTTAGACACGTGTCCGCTCGCAATTAGTTGATGTTTCAAAAATTTATCTTTTTGACCAATTAGGGCGTGACACGTGGCTTAATAACATTTTTTGTGAATATTATTTTCTTAAAACTTTTTCTTTTTTGAAAATGTTACTAATATTATTTTTAAGTAATTAATATCGTTTTTGTTTTTTAGTTTGTTCTGTATATATTTGTTAATACTCATTTAATCTTTATGTTAATATTTGTTAACTAATTAGTATTGTTAATAATAGTTATTTAATAGCTATTATATAATTGTTAACTCTTATTTAATTATGATTATTGTTGGATTTGAAAAGAGTTAATTGTTAGTAATGTTAGGATTAAAGAAAATTAAAGAGAAAGGCTGCAGGAAAGTGACACGCGGAGGGTAGAGAAATTAAAAGAAAATTAAGAAAAAAGGAGGTTAAAGACATGATTGAATGGGCGGAAGGCCCATGTTGGTGAAGCCCGTTAGGTTTTTTATCTGCGGTACATTTGAAGAGAAGAGAACTTCAGAGTGAGAGAGGAAGGAAACTGTTCATCTGCCCATCTCTCAAATAACCTCCACAGTTGACTATCCCTTTTTCCTCAAAGAAAACCCTAAAAACATCTTCTTCCCAAACAGAAAACAGCGCCGCCCCGAATCCCTCAATCGTGTTCCTCACTCATCTTCTGTCGCAATTCGTCACCACCCTCTTAAATCCGCCATTGAAGACCCCAACCCTTCGTTTTGCTTCCGTCTCTACCACAACTCAGAGCTCACACCACCATCCCTTTCGTTTTTCACCAACAACCTTACCCATTTCATTATCATCAAACCCTCCATTTCGATTCACGCCATCAACATCATCATCGCCGCGCCGCCATTAGTTCATTTCTGAAACCGCAAACAGCAATAGTGTGGATAACAACGAAGAACGAGCGGCGACGAAAATGACGTCGACGTCTTGAAATCCTTCATCAAATACACTCCAGATCCGTAACCGTTCATGCACTTGGTCTTGTCGCAGTTTTGACGTCTTCGATGTCAACGCCGACACATTTAAGCTAGGAATCACACTAAATCAGTTCAGATTTCAACAGATTCAAAAGGCTTCATCAAAGTATTGCCAAAGCAACTCCGTTGGCGTTTCAGCGAGAGTCTGTTCATTGTGGGTTGGTCTTTCTCATGTTTGTGCCATAAATATTGTCTGGTTGCTGTTGTTTTTTTAAGGTCTTATTTTTAGATATTGATACTGTTGTTTTGTTGATAATGTCTTTTTTTATTGTTTTGTTATGGATTATCATCGAGATTGCCGGTAGCATATCGTAGCTTGATTCATTTTGTTATCATATTAAGTATACTGGGTTGTTGGTACAGACATGTTTCTAACCTGTATGTTGAGATTTTTGTTGTGAAATTATGTCGAAATGTGCTGGTTTATGCTTACGGTTTGATATTGCGATAATGTCATTATGCTCGTATATGCTTTGTTGCTGAAATCATGCGATGGTTTTGTTGTTGCTGTATCAGCTCACGTTTTATTACGCGTTGCTTTTTCAGATTAAGCTCCGACTACTTCAAGCTTCACCTGTTTAAGACATTGATGATTGTATTGCTTTTAGCCTTGTGTATAGTTGATCTGTGTTTGAATTTGGTATACTTTAGAAGTTCGAACTTCTAATATATATATGTATATTTTTTTGGACAGACATTTTGGTAGTGTTGTTCAATATTTGTTCATGGTAATGCTTAATTGATTATGTTGGTAGAGATAATCCGTGTAGTACTGAGTTTGGGATTATGAGAATATATTGATTAATGTGACTAATATATTATAAATGTCGAATATCTATTTAACATGGTAAGTAATAACATTTAAGGCTAAAATATTATATATGTTTCTAACATGTCTATGTGTCCTATATTAAGTAATTTGACTCATTCTCATTAAGTTATCATATATGAGGCACTGTAGTACGTTCTTCACATCTTTCTTTGCTATGTTCATATAAATCAACTCTAAATGATTACTATTATAATTTGGT